GAGGGGGAAAAAATTTATTTCATGTCACATTGTTACCAAACATAAAAATAAATCTTAAATCTGAAAAATTCTATCGTCAAGAAGAAAGAAAGAACAGATTCACACTCGTATATTTTTTATAATTTTCACTAAACCATTCTATCATTCGCGCCAAATTTCGCGATTAGGAAAAAAGGTTACGTCACAAAACAGGCGCGTCACGATCAAGACAGAAAAATCAAAAATATCAAGGCTAAAAAATGACTCGCGTTTCATGCAAGTCAACGATTAATCGAAATAATTAATTCGCTCGCCAATCCCTGTTCGTACAATTATTCCGACATCGGTCCGATTCACGCGTGCTGCCTTTGTATAAACCGCGCCTCCAGCCCAGCACCAAATTGATGGAAAATACAGAACCTATTTTTTACGGATGGATTCTCATCGATTTACACCGGAGCCCGGGTTTCGAATGGACGATAAAATTAATTGGCCCGAACTGGCGCGCGTGTACAACCATTCAGTTCGATGGTCTCTGAATCTATCGCGATACGAAGATGCAAAAGTACTTGAACCATTAATCATGATGGACAGAAGGCTCGGCCAGTTTGTCTGTAATTACATCAATATGCCGGATGACTGTGTAATGACTGCGTTGAACGAGGTCAATAACGAGAACAATTTCGCGAAAAGCAAAGGAGGGTGGGAGACACGGGCGAAGAGGCAAACGTTGTACGATAATAAACTTGTGGACGCGCGAGATGAAACGATGATTTTGATACTTAATTCAAACAAGGCGGATTCTTTTCTAAAGTCAATATTACATCAGTTTCCTCGGAGGGATGCTGATAGTCTATGTAGTAAACACTACTTCATTGTAATTCCTTGTGTCAATTATTTTATACTATAAGAATAAGAGTAATGACGTAGCGTGGAAAATATAACCAACTTCTAGCAACAGATATATTGCAATTGAATCTTCGGATGGTCAAAAATTATATGCGTATTCAAATTCAAAAATTCGGACTTCGTTAGAGAAAGGTAAGAGATTATGGGAAAAAAACGTCTCAACCAGGACGACCAAAAGCCCCTGAATGAGAAAAAGGCCCTGCACGAGGTAACTTACTATGATGATTACACCATAGGCGGGCATTAAGAAAAAAACTGAGGAGGCACGAGTCACGAGGAAAAGTAATGAAACGACGGTGATGGTGAACGGGGCTTGACCACTTCGGGCATCTTCTTCCTTTTTCCCCCGTTGTTTTCCACGGCGGTGCGTGTCGCGAGCACGCGTGCTCGCGTGACGATGGGCGTGCGTGTGAACTCACGCGGCCACCTCCACCGTCTTGTCGGTTTTCTCTCTCGATAACGCGTGTGCTAGCATTAATGTTTGCAGTCACAAGTTGGAAAGTTTTGTGATGGCAACCTCGAACGGCCAGTTACCAGGGCAACGGTTTGTTGTGCCATTGTGTGTCGAACCCCACCGGTGGAAATCCACCCCCAGCCGTCCACCACCCCTTCGCGAAGGATGTCCCTACCTGAGTGCGACCTAACTCGGCTTGACCTAGCCTAAACTAGCTGGCTCCTCCGTTCTTACCACCCACTGACCAATCAGGTGGTCGCGTTTCCTTTGGAACCTTCCCTGAACAATTTCCCGTGGAACATTCTACGCAGCACTCTCGATTCTCCGATTATGAATGATGTCCAATTATGTATAATGCTCCGATATGAAAAGGAATTGTGAACCGTGTTGGTTGCCACTGGTGGCGCGGCGAAAGTGCTCGGATAGAATGAGACGAGAACGACAAGAGAACGGAGGAAAAGAGGAGAAAGTAAAGAGGATGAAAGGGTTGGAAGGGAAAAGTGGATCAACAGAGCGCGGGACTAGGGGACGTTTATCGATGGAGGGATCGGCTGAGATTTTTAGGGATAGATCGTCGAGATTGAACGGCGACGAGAAAACCCTACGAGCTTAGAGAAAGAGAGAATGTGTATACGCGGGTGGCTAACCTCTTACAGGAAAGCCAGTTAATTTGCTACTCGAATTTCTGATCTTTTTGTTACAAGATGAATTATCGAATGTTAATTAAAAATTTCAATCTTCCACGATAATGGCATATACCTATATGTTGCAGAAAAGAAAAAAAAACGGTAAATGATAACGATAATAATCAGAAGAATGTGTGTTTAGATGTTAAAATTGGGACTGAAACGAGCAAGGAAATTGATTTTCTAAATTAACAACCAAGCTAGAAAATAAGTATATTATGTATAAATTATATTTCCATATATAATTTTATATATATATATATAT